TATTTATATTGGCTTGAAGATCCTGTAAATCATCATGGGGAAAAGATGTATCAAAATAAATGGAAGTCACTTCAGAAACAAAAAAAAAAAAAAAACAGCTTTATATTCAAACCTAAACGGAGTGGAAGAAATGCATCAAGAGGGAACACAAACTATAAGAAAAATTACATGAAGTTTCCCAAGCTAAAATAAATTTTCTTTGGATCCAAATTAATCTAATTAATGAATTAATCTTAGCCCATCTGTAAGTCTAGTAGACTACTGAGCCTGCTTACTTGCCAAAAATATTTACCTGCCATCACTCCTCTAATACAGTGCTTTCTGATGCAGAAACTCACATAAAGAGCAGGCACAGTAAGTGTTTCCAGCCTCTTACCTTTAGTAACTCTTATCATCCCCAGGTGCTGGTTCACACGGGCCTAGAGCTGAAATTCTCTATTTTATAATCATCTCTTGGATTATATTTTCCCAAGTTATAAACACGTCACTAATATTTATGCCTAGTCTAATATCTACTTAATTATAAACAAGGAACTACTTTCTTTATATAAGCCTACAACGTGCTCAAACCCGCTGATTTTGCCTCCCTCTTCAAAACACATTCAGCAATTGGGTGTATTTACCAATGTGCACTTCTCCATTCTAGTCTCTAGTTTACCCCACAAAATATTTGTCCTGGTGCAGAGAAACTCAGAAAATGAAGAATGTGAACTACTAAGGCACGCAAAGCATCACAGCAGGAAAACAGGCGGAGGAGGTCTCCAAAGGACAAAAGTGGCAGAGACGAATGGACACTCCGTAATGTGCAGTACGAACACGGAAGGGAGGAAATGGTCGTGGGATGAACAGAACGAAGCAACTGGTGCTCAGAGCAATGAGAGGAGTGAGTGAAGTTGGAGCTTGAAAGGCAAAAGTGACTGACTTGATGACCTCTGACGCTGAGGTTACCAAGGGCCTCCAAGGCTTCATCGGGATTCAAGGTTCTGCGAGACGAACATCAGCCACAAAAGCAGGAGACGGCAGCTCTTTGTTCCCGGGCCTACAAGCTGGTGGGGGCTGTGCCTCGGCGGACTTGGTGAAGCCTGGCCTCGGGGGAGCCTGCATCTGTCAGGGGCGGCCTCTTCGGCGAGAAAGGGGAGAAAAGCAACCTAACTCACAGAGTGTGTCCTAAGTCGCTCTCTAAATAAAGCCGCATCCTAACCCTGGATGCCTGCGGCAGCTGGGTCCCGGAAAACAGGAGAATCCTCAGGGCAGATTCACTCCAACCTGGGGCTAGAAACGCCGAGCCGAAAGGCGCTCCTCCGGTGGTGTCGGGCCATCCTCGGCAGAGAAGCGCAACGACGTGAAAGGTGGAAAAGCGCGAGAACGAAGGCTTTTCTCCTCTAGGATGAGTCGGAACTTCAGGAACAAGGCCTACAATTTTATCTTGCAGGGTATCGCGGGGGATCCGGGCCTCACTAAGCTCCCGGAGACTCCAGCCGCACGTTCCTAAGCAGCACGGGCGTCATAGCAACCGCGCCTGCCGCACGACGCGAAGGCGTCCTTCCGGCGGGAGCCATGGCTACGACGCAGGCCACTGGCGCCGGGACACTTCCTGCCGGGACCTTTGTGACGGCGCACGCCACTGGCCTTCGCGTCGTGGGCGGACCGCGTCCAGCCGCATCGTTAGAACGGCTCATCCGGTTGGTTTGGAGACTGTAATATCCAGAATGATTTAGGGCTGGGATTTGCAACTGATTTGCTACCCCTTGTAACCCGACATTCTAGTTCTTGAGTATGTACCCGCCAGCCTATGTAAATTAGGTTTTTCTTTTAAGTTAAACCATCTTTAAAAGGGAGGGGTACTAGGGTTAGAGTTCTGAGTTGTAGGCCTAGAATAGCCATTAAAAGTGTGACTAGGGGGCCTGGCCCTAGCTCAGTTCTTTAAGTGGCTGCTTCCCCAAAGCTGTCAGGCTCAGGTGGCTGTGGTTCGATCCCCACAACTCAAGCCAGC